GTGTACAAACCCTAAGTCCTTAACTTGCAATTGCCCTACATTTTTTTTTCCCATTAACCAAATCAATTTAAAGAAGATAAATTTGCACTTTCCTTTGGATTTCTTAACACTAATTACAATTTCTATTATCTCACAACCTCGTATTTAAAATATTAAACCTTGTATTTGAGCATAATAATCTTCAATTATGTGCCATTAAGTTTAATAATCAAGCATAAACTAACTAATCTTTGCCTCTTTGGCATCCATCTTTTGCTCTGCAATCTTTAACTATAGATGTACTCTAGTGAAAATGAGCACCAGTTTTGCAAATCCGAGTCGGATCAAGACAATAATCAAAACCGATAATCCTTTGGGCTTCATAAGTGACAAAGGGTATCTATAGAGATCCTTATTCCCTTCAAAAGAGCTGGCATTAAATCTTGGAAAATTACTACTTAAGTTCCCTAAAGAAGCCAAAATGGAACAAGAAAGCTTATTTAGGGTTTGTTTCGTATAACGGTTAAAATTTAACGGACAGTAAATAGTGGGTAGCGGATAGTAAATAGCGGTAACGGGTAATGGATGGTGATTAACAGATAGTGAATGACGAATAACGAAAAATGGATAGCGGATAATAGATAACGGATTCGATAAATATAATTGTTTGGTTATACAATAGTTAGCGGTTGTTATTTAATATTAAATGGCTAACAAGGGCACATTTAAAAACAATTAAATATATTTTTTTAAATATTTTTTATTTTTTATTATTAAAATTATTAATTTTATAAAAATAATAATAAGAAAATAAATAAATTAAATTAATTACAATAATATAATTACACCCTCATTTTTATTTTTAACAAAGAAAAAATTATATTATTTTTAAATAAAAAATTAATCATTTTGTCTAATTAGTAAATTTTGTTTTTTAAAATAATATTTTTTTATAATGATAAATTAATACAAAAAATAAAAACATTATAATCACTTAATGTTATTAAAAGTAAAAAAAAAAAAATTGAAACTTATTAGATAAATATTGATTAAAAATTGTGATAAAAAATAAAAAAATTAAAATGGATAAATTTGTTAACAGAATTA